GGGATGATTCCTAGCCAGAGACGAATAAGCCTAAAAATATGAAATTGTATTAAACAAGATTTATCCAAAACTGCAGCAAAATAACTGTGAAAAAGTGCCTAAAGTGAAGATTAATGCACTGCTACTGGCTGGCTTGCCTACCTGGAAGAATATTCCTTCAGTACTGCAATACTCTCTCAATTCGTTGCGAGTAAAATGAGGGTGAAACTCGACTTGATTCACAGAAGGCATCATTTTTCCAAAATTTTCAATCTCCTTGATATGTTTAACTTCATAATTTGAAACACCAACTGATCGCACTTTGCGCTCATCTGAAAATTCTGCTCTTCAATGCCTTCTAAAAGATATAATACAAAGACTTTAAATCATGAATTTTGAAAAATTGGCAAAAATCCGTGCGGTAACAGCTCTCGTGCCCTTTAATTCGGTAAAGCAAGGATATCACGTCAAAACTGTCTGGGTGAAAACAGATGGCAAAAGCAAAATTCGGCTGAAGGAAAACAAAAGTCGGAGCTTGGCTATACTGAACCACAGATGTGCAAAATTCGGAAGAGAAGCAAAATTTGGCCGAAAAAGCAATGAAATATTTGAAAAGTAGAAAAATATGTCAAAAATATTCAAATTTGTAGTTACAATGCTGAAATAACACCAAATGCACAAAATTATGCTTCAAAAATTGCAAAAAAACATAATTTCTAAGCGAAAAGAGGAGACGAAACGCCAAAACGGAAATATACAGTCATTTTTTATAGAAGATAGGATATTTCAATTTCAGACCTCATACTACAGGGCATCAAAAAGTATGGGGTTTGCGTAACAAGGCTAAAAAATACGCATTTTTAAGATAAAAATAAAACGGTTATTCCGTAATGTCATTGAAAAAAGAGAGCTATTATCTGTTGAAAATCTGCTCAAACATTGCATACAACAGTTGGACATGGCAGTGCGGGAAAAGAGAATGGGAGGCCAGGGGCATATTTTGTGAGCGAAAAAAGAAGAACATCCACTACAACCAGAGATCATAGGGACATCTCATGTTGAAGACAATCCCTGTGAATTATGAAACAAAGGAAAAATTGATGCGGGATCCAAAATAAGCTCTTCTCTAGTGCGGTTCACTAAGGGAGGGGACGAGAAAGGAGGCAGCGGGTGGACAAAGGGGAAGGGGGGAAAGGAATTATGTTGGTAAACATGTACAGATGGATAGATGAATATGCAGTGAGTATAATACACATTTCGTAAAAAGACACAAAAATGAACCTTTCAATTTTTCCAGCTCCATATATGCGTCCATACGATTCTGTGGATTTCGTACATCATCGTTTTCACAAGCGTCCGCCTTGGGATAGTGTATCAGCACCAAATCCAGATATCTTAAATGGAATGTAAAAAGTGGTGTACACACAGACGTAGAAATGCTATTTCCCAAGC